GGCTGAGTGTTAGGTCTTAAACTGCAATCTGGAATGACTGAACTCACCTGTACCAGATTAGATTCGAAGCAGAGGATTGAGAGAGAAATTAAGCTCAGTTGTAGGAAAATAATTGCAGCGTTGCCTCTCTGAGTTCGTAGTCGATAAAAAATGAACTCACTACACAGGTATACATTTTCACATATGTACTTTGACACTGATACACACAGAGCACAGACATCTCACACACATAAAACACATATGGCCAGTGTGTGCTGGTAAATGTTTAACTGCCAGCTTTCTGGAAAATAACAACCACCTGATTTATAGCAGTTACTGTTCTGTGTTTTAAAGATACCCACTATGACAATTTTGAGCTACGACATGATATCACCTAATGCAAGTCAGAAAGATGTGCACAGTTAGTTTTTTGTGAGCTAGGGCGAGCTGGTTCCAGCCTAACACGGCAAAGTTACATTTATGCATCTATGTATCTGCTCCAAGGTGCCTAAGAATCCAGGAGGATTGCTTGGGTTCCTTTAAGAATTGAAATTCTAGGGATCCCTGGGTGGCGCAGCGGTTTGGCGCCTGCCTTTGGCCCAGGGCGCGATCCTGGAGACCCGGGATGGAATCCCACATCGGGCTTCCGGTGCATGGAGCCTGCTTCTCCCTCTGCCTGCGTCTCTGCCTCTCTCTCTCTCTGTGACTATCATAAATAAATAAAAATTAAAAAAAAAAAAGAATTGAAATTCTAATTCCCATTCTGTACCTACACTAAGTACAGAAAAATGCATAAGGATATTATCTCAACTACATGTGCTTGTAAACTAGTCATTTAGAAATCTGTACAAGTTCAAATATGTACATAAATTTATACACATCTACATATAGATGCGGATAAGAGAAAACATGCATAGAAACCACACATAGATACCCACACACTCAGGAAGAGGGAATAAACCAACCTGATTTTGTGGGATTGCTGCACTGGCCTATGACCCCACACCTTCAGATCCAGGGGCGGGAGATCAGAAGATCACACTATTTATATTTATAATCAGTGGTCTATACTTTTTCCTGCACTGTGTCTCTCACACCCCTTCTCTCATCTTCTGGTTTTTCCTGGTGGCCCTGCACGTCCTTCCAGTCTGCAAGAGCTCTATCTCTTGCCATACAGCTACCAGCCTGGGAGTCCCATCTTTCTTTAGTATGGCAGCCCCTTACATCTTTTCTTTCACTTCAGGAAAGTCAGCTTCATCTTCTGTCTCTGTCCTTATCCCAGACCAATAGAGGGAGAGGTCAGCATGACACCCCCCCCCCGCCCCCACTTGGATCCTTCCTCCTGACCTCTGCTTTGTCCTATCCCTTATCACTTTCTTGATAATTTCATTCTTGCCTGGACCAGCCTTCTAGTTGTTTCCCCCCTGCTCCAGGCTCTTCCCTCCCATTTGTCCTGCTATAAGGAACTTGTCAGATTGATGATCCCGAGCACAGTGCTAAGGTCAGGCTTGTGCTGGCAACTTCCCAATTCAGGACAGATTAGGGCTGGTTCCCCCGGAGGCCCCTTGACCACTTCTCCAACTCTTGCTTCCCCAGGTCAGTTTCCCTTCTGTTTTCTCCTAACTTCTTTCTCTCCTCAATCTGTTCTGCAAATTGTCTCTGCCACAGAGTCGCTTGCTCCCTTCTTTAGTTCACAGTGGGGGCATTTACTACCTCTCATGACTGTGATATAGTGCTTTATAGTTTATAAAAACTCAAAACTATTTATGAACCTCTTGTGCCCTGTACCAAGGTTAGCCCGTGGAAATACAATGAGTAAAAACAGATGTGGTTGTGCTTTCATGAATCAAGGCAACATAACCTGGGATCTTGGGCCCCAACGTCCTCTGACCCAAAATCAAGTGGATTTGGGAGGAAAGATATTTTCCTGCTGTCCCTTCTACCTGCCCCACTCCCCCACGCCCAATGGAAATATGGCCTCCCTGGGGCCACAGGGGCAAAGAACTCAAGACGGAGAACAAGACTGTGGCTTGCAGAAGAGGACTTTACCAACCACAGGAGCATCACAGGGACAGCTGTTGGGATGTTGCAAGGCATTACAAAGGGCCATTAAACTTTAACAAGCTAAATAGAGGTTAACGCTCATGTGTATTGCAACATCTTTCTTTCCTGTAGCACACCCACAGTGAGGAACATGTATCTGTGTGAACCTATGCTAATTGCTTTGGTTTCAGAGCCTTAGCTTCCTCACTTGTTATGGTTAGAAGTCTCTGATATTTCATGGAGCTGTTAAAAGAGTCAAACAAAGAGGTGCCTGGGTAGCTTGGTCAGTTGAGTGCTTGACTTTTGGTTTCAGCTCAGGTCACGATCTCAGGGTCAAGACATGGAGCCCCATGTTGGGCTCTGTGCTTAGTGCAGAGTCTGCTTGAGATTCTCACTCCTTCTACCCCTCCCTCCCAAATAAATAAATAAATAAGTAAAATCTTGAAGTAGACAAACGAGATAAAGGTACATGAAAGAATTTTATAGAACTATAATGTACAGAAATAAAACGAATGAATCACTGAAGTAGTAATTAATAAAAGTTTACTCTGCATACAGCAAGAAGACAGTTTTACAATGCAGGAGCACTCAAACCAAAACATGGAATGAGGCTCAGAGATAGATTGTTATAAAACAGCTTAATTAATGACAAAACAGTAATTGTTTATTCTTTGCTGTGATTGGTTATTGTGGTATCTAAATAGGATATCTCTCAGCTGGATGGGGGGCCCCCAAGTGTGGGGCAACGATCCAGTGGAAGTTGGTCATGCATGACAGGTAAAAGAATTCACCTGCAACAGAATAAGGGCGATAGTAGTTTATTGAATACACCATAAGGGAGTAGCAGCAGGACAGCAGAGGAGAGGCGGTTTGCAACAAACCAGTGGGTGGGGGCTGTTTTTAAAGAGGGGAAGAGGTATGGCCACATGTGGAAATCTTCCTTTTTTGGTAACTGTGCCTGGTTTTAAGTAGCTCATTGGTTAGTTAGGGCCTATGGTGGCCCAATGGGCCTGTCTGTATTGAGCCAGATGGTCTCTTGAGCCCTTTCTACATTCTATCAATCAAGCCTGTTTGCCTAAAAGCAGCCTGTACAGTTACAATATTAAAGTCTTCTTAAGTGACAGGGAATTGGTCAGTGGTTACCTCTTATAAACCTTAGGTAACAGTTCACGTTGTGCTTATGATATCTAGAGGCCTAAGCAACGAATGACCCAGGTCAAGTTAGTCTTGCAAAAGTAGCTACATGAAGCCTTGTTTGTATGACTAGACTGGTTTTGACCACTGGTTTTCAAGGCTGATCTCTACCTGTTAGCTTATTTTGCAGTCCTGTAACTTTACAATCTCAAGTGTGCTAGCTACATTTCACATGTTCAGTAGTCCCATATGGCTACTGTGCTGGACAGCACACAGTACTTAGTAATGTTAAGTAAAAATTAGTTAAAATCTGTGTAGTACTTTAAAATCTCCAAAATTCTTCTGATACTTAAATCTTGTGTTAGTAGGTGGATGGTTATCATTTCCATTTTGTAGAAGAGAAGCAGAAGCAGCAGCAACTGTCTATAATTCACCCAAAGTCATCAACTGGTAAATGGTGAACTCAATCTGGTTTCTATTATTCTAAAAACGTGTGTTCGACTAAGTACCTTCCAGCTCAGATGTTCTACAGACGTATTTGACACAGGTGGGCATAAAAAATATCCTGCCTCTCTCTCTCTCTCTGATATTCTCTGTGACTTAGTGAGTTACTTCAACTATCCTTGAGGGTTACATTGTAGTGTTTCAAGGACCCAAGTAAGACAGACCTGGGGTGAAGACTCTTCCAGTCTAAAAGAGCACGCATGCGGCGAAGGTTCACACCAAAACAAGCACGCCCAACTGGTTATTAGGTAAAGAAGCTACTAGCCCAGGGTTTCTCTAAAAGAAGATATAAGGTACCTCTATCTGCTAAGGGATGGGGAGCGGCCAGAGCAGGGACCAGGCCAGTTTGAGAACTGCCCTGCGAAGGGCTGGTCCCTAAGGCTGAAGTTCCGGAAGAGATGCCAAGAGCAGCTGACCGCCCCCCTGGCCGGAGGGGCTGCCCCACTGTGGGCCCAGAACAGCCAGGAGCAGCCCGCGGAGGCTCGCAGGAGCTCCGGCCTGGCTCCCCAGCCCGGCTAGTGATTCCCCCGCTTCTCGCTCCGTTTCCCAATTCCCGTGTAAGGAAGGAGAGTGGTTTGGCGGCTGGGGGGGCAACAAAAGGTTTCTAACCTTTCCCCCCCCACCCGATACCCTGCACCACGAAGGGAACTGAGCGAGCGCTAAAAGCCGACCGCCCCCTTCTCCGGTTGCAAGGACAGGCTTTTCCCTTCCCAGCCCAATTCCAGTTTCTCCCGGTCATGCATATTCATGCATATTCCGCACAAGGGCAGCGCCGGGTCTGCGCACCTGCGACCTCTGCCGTCGCCGCGCAGGCGCTGGGCGGGAGAGCCCAACCTCGGACGAGCCCCGCCCCCACCGGTGCGCGGAGGGCCGCGCATGCGCCCCCGGAGGAGGGCGCGGGGGGAGGGCGCGGCGGGCCGTGACGTGTCCGGCGGGGTGGAGCCGGGCTCCCCTTCTTGCTCATCTGCTTGGGATCCCTTCGGCCCTGAGGCGGCGGGGTCCAGAGGTGCGGGGCGCTCGGCCTGCGGGACGGGTGGCGGCTGCAGCGGCCTGGGCATGGCGGCGCTCTACGGGGGTGTGGAGGGGTGAGTGCGGCTCGGCGGAGGGCCCGGGAGCGGCCGGAGGCTAAAGGAGGGAGGCTGGTGCCCGGCTGCCGGGCTGCGGACCTCCCGCCTTAGGGTGCGGCCGCTTTGCGCCTCCGGGCCGCGGGGCTTCGCGGGGCTTCGGGGGCTTCGCGGGGCTTCGCGGGGCTTCGGGGGCTTCGCGGGGGAGGGGCGCGAGCAGGCGCGGCGGCGCGGGCGCGCGCGTGTTTGCGGGGCGTCGGCGGGCGCGCGGCCTCGCCCGGCGCGGGGGCTCCTGTCTCACGGCGCGGCGCTCCACCGCCCCCGCCAGCTCTGCGAGCTCCCTTTCGTCACTCCGGACCCCGGAGAGAGTTTCGCCCAGCAGGTGTCCGGTGTGAAGTTGCTGGACCGAGCGTGGGGAGTGGGACTGTGCCTTGGGCACAAGGGGGGAGAGGGGGGGGCCAAGGCCTTTGCCAGAGGGCTTCTGGTGGCTACCGCAGCTGCAGCCGAAGTCCTGGCCTGTCCCGCTGTCGGCCACACCTCCTTTCTCGTCAGCGCTCCAGACTCCTCACGCTACGTGGAACCCTCGGTCATTCTTGCATTTTTCCTTCTTAGGAGCTTGTTTGTCGGACTTTTTGTAGTACTGCTTCCCCGAATGACTTTGGGCAAGACTTCTGCCCAATCTGGGCCACATTTACCTCCCGTGTCTACTAAGAGGGATGAATGAGATGGCTGCCACGTTCCCTGCCAGGGAGGGCGTTCTGTGACTCTGGGAGTGTCGAAGTGGGCACGACGCAGGTGGCTCTTGTCACAGCCCGGGCACTTTCGAATCTGAGATTGGGATTGCTTGTAAGGCAGCTGTATCTCACTGCTGACTCAGGGATCCCCGCCCCCCATGGCTTTCCTTCTTTAAACATGAATTTTATTTATTTATTTATTTATTTATTTATTTTTTTATTTTATTTATTTTTTAATTTTTTTTAATGATAGTCACACACACACAGAGAGGCAGAGACATAGGCAGAGGGAGAAGCAGGCTCCATGCACCGGGAGCCCGACGTGGGATTCGATCCCGGGTCCCCAGGATCGCGCCCTGGGCCAAAGGCAGGCGCCAAACCGCTGCGCCACCCAGGGATCCCTAAACATGAATTGTTAAGGTTGATCTCCCCCATCCTGTATCTGTGGCGCTTTTTAAAAATCAGTACAGAAGCTTGTGCTCATCCCTGTTATATTCATGTGTAAGACCTGACCCCTTTTTCTAGCTTGTCAAGAGCTGGTTTGGGTCATTGCTGCCTCGTGCATTAACGACGTCTTCAAACATTTTGTCATCTTTGAGTTTGATCAGCAGGTCTTTAGTGTCCTTCTCTGATACTCCCAAGAGTACTGATCAGTAAAGAAACATACATCACACCCCCACAAACCTCCCTCCAAACTACCATTTGCCCCAGTAATAAGCATTTCACCATTTGGTTGCTTACAGAAGCATAAATTCTCCCTGCCCTCTGATCAGTATTTCTCCCAAGGGTGTCTTGAAGAACTTGGCAGCTGGAGCTGGAGCTTGAATGAAAGACAGCTTTTAGCTATTGTGAAAGAAGCAGAGACATGTGCCCTTCCCTTTAGTCACGTGTGCTGAATATATAGGCCTGTGCCAGGCATGAGAATGGATAAATGATATGGAGTTTGGCTCCTGGAGCTTGTAGTCAAGTGAGAGGCAGACAACTAAGCACTCTTTTTTTTTTTTAATTTTTTTTTTATTTATTTATGATAGTTACAGAGAGAGAGAGAGAGAGAGGCAGAGACACAGGCAGAGGGAGAAGCAGGCTCCATGCACCGGGAGCCCGACGTGGGACTCGATCCCGGGTCTCCCGGATCACGCCCTGGGCCAAAGGCAGGCGCCAAACTGCTGCGCCACCCAGGGATCCCTGACTAAGCACTCTTAACCAGACTTTAGGAGTTATGGGGGGACTGATGTGGTTTGACCAACGAGCTATGGCAGTAGGCTACATGACAGAGGTTTCAAGGATTGGTGGTAGAGAAGTAAGGTCTTGCAGGATAAGTAGGACATCACCAAGGGAAGCCGAGCTGGACCAACATTTCAGCCTGGTAACACATCAAACCAAACCACAGAAGTGGTTTGGGAATTGGGTTTGCCGAAGCTGTCACCATCGCACTGGGCTCTGCCTGTGACAAGGTCTGCACAAGCTTAGCTGTCTCTGCAGGTTTGTCTGAGCAAGACTGAGTGCCCTCTTGTGTTCTGTAGGGGAGGCTCACGGTCCAAGGTTCTTTTACTCTCAGAGGATGGGCAGATCCTGGCAGAAGCAGATGGACTCAGCACAAACCACTGGGTAAAGACCACACTGAAGGACCAGTGGGTTTGGTTATAGTCTTATTCCCTGTAACTCCCATTAAGATGGTGGTTGGGGCTGTAACTACAGTTTGTAGGGGCAACACGGGTCATGCAAGCCTTTGTAACTCCTGCTTCCCTTGATTGGGGCCAGCTAATCGGGACAGACAAGTGTGTGGAGAGGATCAACGAGATGGTGAACAGGGCCAAACTGGAAGCAGGGTTGGATCCTCTCGTCCCTCTACGAAGCTTGGTGAGTCTGGGGTAGAGTCTGGGAATAAAGGCACAGAGAGAGACAGTGATTATGACTAGATCAGTCTGTGCCAAGACCTTGAAGGCTTGGTCTCTGGTCTAGAAACAGATAGTCTCACCCATTCTTATGGCTTCGGTTATCACCTACAAGCCACAAGGATGGAAAGAGCCCAGGGCTTTGGAGAGCCACTGAGACCCTGCTTTGAATCCCAGTTTTGTCTCTCAACATCTGCGAGACCCTTAGCAGGCTGCTTACCTCCTCTCAGCCTCTGTCTCATTTGGACAGTGCAAGTAACAGCTCCTTCAGTTGTTGGGAAAGAACAATGACATCCCAAAGTGCTTAATCTAGAGCCTGATCAATAAGCACTCTTCAGCGTTAGCTGTGATGCTTAGCTCAGACATTTCTCTCAAGTTGCTGTAGCTCTGACTATCCCCTGGCCACAGCCTCAGTGACATGTTCTGTAGGCACAGCTAAACCCCAGGTATTCCAAACCTAGCCTGCCTCCTCCACTTGCTCTTCTGCTTGACTTTTTCCATTGAGGGTGCTTTTGCCCCTCCCACACTCCAAACCTGCCATTGTTGAATCCCGTCCCTGGGTTCATTCCTAGACCAAGTTCTTGCAACCGCAGCTTTCTGATGGGTCATTGTGTGGGGCGGAAGGAGGACTGGAGCTGGATAAGAAGGGTGTGCCCAGATGGAGAGAGGGGTAGACCCCAGGAAGGGAGGGGGTCGAGAAAGGAACTGGGTCTAGGGCCCTGTTCACTTACTTGCTCACATCCCACACGGCCTAGGGCCTGTCCCTGAGTGGTGGGATACAGGAAGACGCATTGAGGATCCTGACGGAGGAGCTGAGGAACCGGTTTCCCCACCTGAGTGAAAACTACTTAATCACCACTGACGCCGCTGGCTCCATCGCCACAGCTACGCAGGATGGTGAGGAGGGAGAATGAGGATGAGGTTGAGAACTGGTTTTCTTGGGGAAGCCCCTTAGTAAAAACTGGTGGAGCTTGTCCTGCAATGTCTGGAAGGCAGCCTCCAGCATTCCCTGCCCTCTTTCCCTATTCTTTTTATTGGCTTAAATCCCTACCAAAGCAAGAACTGGACAGAAGGGGGGAGGGCAGAACGGTGTCTTGACGGGAAGCAGGAAGAGTCAAACCCAAGACTCCACTTCAGAGGAAGGAGCCTCTGGGGCAGTGTGGTAAGGAGTCTGGCTGGGAGAACAGTTAAGGGCTAAGAAGAACATGGCAGGAGCTCTGTGACAGTGTAAAAGGCCTTGGTATCCTGAGATGGGCAGGTATCCTGAGATGGGCATTTGAATCTCAGCTCCTGTTTTGCCAGCAGTACCATCTTGGAGAAGTTATAGAACTCCCTTCCCCATAAAATGGGGGTGACTATTCACAAAGGTGGTTCAGGATGTTGAATGAGTATCACTGTGTGAACAGGATCTAGCACAATCCTTGGTTCATAATAGGTATGAGGAAGGCAAGTAGTCACTAAGCTGGGCAAGGAGACAGGCTCGTGTTCCTCTCGGTCTCCCAGAGGAGGGCTCTGTGTGGATTGGAGCTCCATGCCGGGCCTTGGTCGCACTGAGCCTCCCGTGCCCTCTCCCCAGGTGGGATCGTGCTCATCTCTGGGACAGGCTCCAACTGCAGGCTCATCAACCCTGATGGCTCTGAGAGTGGCTGTGGTGGCTGGGGCCACATGATGGGGGACGAGGGCTCAGGTGAGTTCATGCCAGCTGGGGCCTGGCTTTGAGGCTCAGGGCCTTGGACCCTTCCTGCAGCTCCCCATCTTCCTCTCTCCTGCCACCAGTCCCTTGGGGCTGTCTGGGGACAGCTCCTAAAAAACTGTTCTGAGTCCAGGATAATAACTGAGAACATAGGGATGCAGATGGAGGACTAGCGGCTAACCTTGGTCTGGAGCTGTGATTTGTATCCAGGTTTAGATTCGCATATTTGTTGCCTACTTGTGTTGATTTTTGGAGTCCTTAGGGAGAAATTGACCCTATGAAGGTTAAGGCCATAGATGCCAGGGAATGCTGGACCAGTCTGCTAATAGGAAAGGGGTATAGAAACTCCTGCATGACCTCATTATAGGTAGCAGGAGTACATTTTCATAGGGGCTCTTGGGGCCAGCTCATGGCAGTGACTCCAGTGGTCTTTGTGACAGCCGACTGACCTTGTCTTTACTGTCGTGTAGGAGCTGGCGTGGTCCAGCCACACCTGTTGTCTGACCTCTAGCTTTCCCTTTGTGGATCGGTCAGATACAGTTGAAATTGGGGTACTTTAATTTGCTGTAATATCCAAGCTGATCATTAACCTGTCTGAGTTTCCTTATTTGTGAACTCGGGGACTGCCCCATCTTCTTAGCCCTCTCTGCCTTCCACAGCCTACTGGATTGCACACCAAGCAGTGAAAATAGTGTTCGACTCTATCGACAACCTGGAGGCAGCTCCTCATGACATTGGCTACATCAAACAGGCGATGTTCAACTATTTCCAGGTACCTCCCCCTGCCTCTGGTAAACAGGCTCCCCTGGGATGGGACAGTGGGATACTGAGCAGGAGTGAGTATAGGAGAAGAACTAGGTGAGCTGAAGTTGAGGTAAATTGCGAGTCAGAGCTGGAGGATGGTGGAGTTCCAGGTGAGGACAGGATTCATAATGATGTGGGTGATTGATACCTATACCAAGAGGATGCCAGGCATGAGGAATGGGCAGGTTGGGGACAAATGGTTAGCTACGGTGCATTCTTGGGTAGCTAGACCCTGCTGGAAAATGAAGGTAGATGCCATTTTATAAGGCCCCAGTGAGATCAGGAAGCAGTGTACTCAGAGACAGCAGGTAAAGGTTGAAGAGGTGCCTTAGACAGTGAGCTGCTTCTGGCCTGTATGAGTGAGGGAGGAGAGGCCATTAAAGAAGCGGGTAGGGAGACTCTCGGGGAGCTATAACCTCCAACCCAGGGCTTTAGGGATCAATTTTCTTATGTCTAGGCCATGCTTACTTGTAGGGGGTTAGGAAACAGCTGTCTTTAGCTGAATCTGAGGTAAAAGGGGAGAGGATAAGGAAGGTAGGTCTATTCTCTGAGTGGGAGGCACTTTTATGAGCTGGGGATGGGCTCAAGGACAGAGATTAGAGATCCTGGAAGATAGGACCTGTATTTTTAAGGTTCAGGGATTGATTGAAGAGAAACTCTCACCAGGGCCAAGGTGAGAAATAGGGAGGGACCAGGAAGAGAAATCACTTTTGATAGCAGTTGCCATGGAAAGTACAGTTAAGCTACCCTGACCCAACAGGTTGGTTCTACACCCCGCTGATATGTCTGCCACTCCCTTTCATCCTTTAGTCATTCTTACAGTCATTCAAAGGATGAAATGAGATCCTGTGTGCAACAGGCTTACATATTGCTGTGTGTGCTCACATTGTAGCCCCCCCCCCCCCGCCCCGTCTTCTACATCAGTGGTGTTCTCTGGGGAAACACTGGTCCCTTAGGACCTGCAGAGACGGTTTGTTAGGGTGAAAGGAGGACCTCCCATGGTCAGAGAAGTTCTGGAGAAACAGATTTCTCAGTTCAGGACTTCACAGGGCCTTTAATTTGCTCATGTGCACTGTGTCTCTGAGAGTCGCCATGTGCAACCGTCCTTCAATTCCTCTTGCCAAAGAAATATTTTCAGGAGCACCTCAGGGAACTACAGAACACACTTTGGTGAGTGTATATCTGTGCTCCGCTGGATGTATCCAAGCTAATGGGCAAGGAGCAATGGAATCCATGTGGGAAAACAGACAACTTCTCTCAAATGAGAAATCTCAAATCCTTGTGTTCTCTAGAACTTTAAGAAAGCAAACATTATTCCAGCTTCTCAAGCAGAGACACTGGGAAGGTCAACTTGGGTGGGCAGACTGGGCATTTGCCCTGACTTTCAGTGACTTTCTATGCCCTTGTTCTGTCTCTCAGGTGCCAGATCGGCTAGGCATCCTCACCCACCTATATAGGGACTTTGATAAATGCCGCTTTGCTGGGTTTTGCCAGAAAATTGCAGAAGGTACTGGAGGTGGGGCAGGGTTTTGTTTGGTTTTGTTTCCCAAAGACCTCCCTAAATGGGGGATGGAATGGGACTCATTTGGGAACTGGAAGCTAGTTTCCCTTTGCCCAAGTGACTTTAGTCCTCTGCCACAGTTCTCTGCGCCTTGGTACTGGTAGGCCTTGGAGTGGAGCCAGAAGGACATGTGGCTTGTATTGACAGTTATTTTATATTCTCTGTGTTTTTGTTATTGACAGCTGTCAATGGCTTGTGCAGGCTCTATGTCTGTTTCTGAGAAATTTAGGAAGCAATTGTCCTTTGAGCAAATCTATAATTAAAAAACAACCACCACCGATGATGTCCAGAGAACTAGGAGATCATAGAGAAGTTCATCATATCTGGTTGGGGGTCAGGAGAAGCTAAACCGTATGGCTTGCTTGTCTGCAGTTTAAGGTTCATACTCCCTTCATTTGGATTCCTACAGCCTCATGGCGTGGTAGGTCCCTCTTAGACCTTGCTGGATGGAGGCCCTTTCAGAGCAGAGCTAGGGAGGGGCTGGCCACCAGCAGACGGTTGGATAGGGGGGTGGGGTGGAGCAGGAGCACCAGCCAGCTGCTCAAGTAAGGTCCCCAGAGGTGAGAGACCTTCAGGGACAGGCTTGGAAACTCTGTGTAAGCTGGGATACAGACTGGATGCCACTGTGCTCCTCTAGTGGGGGCTGCCCTTCTCCTGCACCTGGAGTGAGCCACCTCCATACAGGACACCCCTTCTGGGGTGGAAGTACCGGGTGGGGTCGGGGCAGTAAGGATGGAGAGACAGCTTTGGGGGCTTGCTTACCTATATGGTGTGAGGTGGGCAGACATAGAATTTAGACTTTTGCTAGCCATAGGTGCTCCTCCTGTTGCTGCCCTGCGACAAAAGGAGTAACAGTGGTCGGACAGCAACCTAGGCACTCACCAGGTCCACCCGCCCCCCCCCCCCCCAACAGGTGCTCAGCAGGGAGATCCCCTTTGCCAGTTTATCTTCAGGAAGGCTGGGGAGATGCTGGGCAGGCACGTGGTAGCAGTGCTGCCAGAGATTGACCCGGTGAGTCGAGGTGGGAGGTGAAACCTGGATGCTGCTGGGCCAGATTGGGCTCTCTTGTCAGGGATGAGGCTATCCGATTAAACTCCGTAAATGGGGCAGCCCTGGTGGCTCAGCGGTTTAGCACCGCCTTTAGTCCAGGGCCTGATCCTGGAGTCCCAGGATCGAGTCCCACGTTGGGCTCCCTGCATGGAGCCTGCTTCTCCCTCTGCCTGTGTCTCTACCTCTCTCTCTGTCTCTCTATTTCTCATGAATAAATAAATAAATAAAATCTTAAAAAAAAAACTCCATAAATGGGACACAATTTTAAATGAACTTAGGGTATGAGAAAATTCTGTACAAAGTCTGTAGCACATAAAGTTCTTCCGTCCTGCACCTCCCCACTATGACCTCGGCAGCCTGTATTCATCTGTAGTAAATTGGTTTAACATGGTGCATGTTTCCAGCCATTTCCCTCCCTGCTGTTTCCTTCCTCTGTATTGCTGCTTAACCCTTTTTCCTTTACATTCTCTCCCTTGGCTTATGAATCTGTTTGCCTCTCTTTTCCCCTCTTTTCTTCAGCCCACCTTGGCTAGAGGGAGAGGAACAGGGAGAGGGTGGGCTGGTCTTCAGAAACTACGCACTTCCACGCTGGAGAGGTTTGGTGGCCCCGTGTCCATTTCTGCTTCCCTCAGGTCTTGTTCCAGGGGGAGCTGGGCCTCCCCATCCTGTGTGTGGGCTCTGTGTGGAAGAGCTGGGAGCTGCTGAGGGAAGGTGAGTACAGGGTGGGTGGGTGGGGTACCCAGGAAAGCTGCCTGCCCCAGGGAAGCCTTGGGACCTGGGCAAGGCCTTGACAGGCCACAGCCCTCAGTCGGCCAGGGAACCTTTCTGCAGTGTCCCATCCAGCTTCCTCACACTCTTATTAAAGTGATGGTCTTTTTAAAGGATTTATTAAATATGCACCACTTCTTAAAAATCAAGGATAAACTTCCTTTGAAATCGAAGCTTCTGACCAGAATGTGGTGACATCTCTAGTCAGCACAGTTGCAGACAGAAGGGAAAAAAGGCGCCTTCTTTCGCCCTTTCAGTGTTGGTGCAGGTAGCTGTGTGGTTTCCATTAGACATTCTGAAGTAGTTGGAGGGACCCCATTGCTTCCTTGGAGTTCCCGGCGTTGGGTGCCTAGTTGCTGCACGCTCCAGTAGCCCATGGCTGTTACTGGGCTCATGTACCCTGGTGCCCTGCCTGTTAGAGATTTGGCATGTGGGCCCCTTGAGGACCTGCACAGGAATGCCCCGGGGTCTGGGCCTCTCCTTTCCCTCCCTGTCTTTGTCCCACCTTCTGGTCTAAACCACAGGGTGCTGGTCTATTCTCATCTCGGCCCTCTGCCCTCTTTCCCTTCAGGTTTCCTTCTGGCGCTGACCCAGGGCCGAGAGATCCAGGCCCAGAACTCCTTCTCCAGCTTCACCCTGATGAAGCTGCAACACTCATCTGCCCTGGGTGGGGCCAGCCTCGGGGCCAGGCACATCGGGCACCTCCTCCCCATGGACTACACTGCCAATGCCGTTGCCTTCTACTCCCACACCTTCTCCTAGGGCCTGGCCCTGGCTCCATGTCTCCACAAACACATTGGACACTGGGTGCTGGAAAGGAGGAGGCTTTTTTTCCTTCTCCTTTTTTTTTAAAAAATGGAAAACACATATAAAAGAAAATAAATGCACTTTATCTACTCTTCAGTTGGATTGTGTTATCAAGCATGCTTGCTGTGTACATCCTCAGCAGGAATCCCAGAGAGCCTGAATAGGGATGTCTAGAATTCAAAGCCCTGTGCCCAGGTGCTTGACCTATGGTTTGCAATCTGCTTGCCATACAGTTGGGCAGATAATTCATGTGTGCCATCTCTCCCCATCAGCCCCCAACATTAGCATACTTCTATGCTGTGCCGCTCCCAGGTAAATATTGACCTCAGTTTCTCCTGTCAAAGTGGGTAATGATTCCTACCCAACCGTCTGTAGTGGAACTAAATGTTCTCTATGGAGAGCATCACTGGGAGTAACCCTAGACACATAGGTCACATCCTCTCCTCCTGATAGTCCCCAGTAGGATTTAGGAGATGGTACCATTCTGGTCTGGGAGAATGACCTCACTGGATTTGGTACTTCTAGGTAAACAGCACATTTTGCAGTTTTTTCCCTCATGAATGAGTTTTTGAGAGGTTATGAAGATGGTTGAGATACAAGAAAGCCAATTAGACACAACTGGGTGGCCTCCTCCTCCCTGGTGACTTCTACCCTGGCTCTGGCTATAGTATGACATTTTGCATTTGTTATGTGACATGGAATGATGAACATGATGTTCAGTGAAGAGCAAACATGATTCCTGTCCTCTAGATACTGTTTGGTAAATACAAGCCCAAAGCTTCCTGATGTGCTTACTTGGTGAACTGAAGACAGAGTCTTGATGCACCATGGCTGCCTCTACAGGTGTTCAGAGTGTAAGCCATTAGAGGGTGTGGAACATGTACATCAGTTATTCTAGATCTTGTTTTCGACTAAGATTTTTGTTTCCTCCTCCATCAGGTCTAAGTTAATAGATCCAAGGAGGAAGTGGAAATGTTCATTTCTACCGAATCACCTTGGGTGATCTGTGCTGCAGAGATCCGAGATCTGCACTTTTGAGGGAGGTCTACCCTATAGCTTTTGAGTTCTGATTAAGCCCTTGAAAAGGTCTTGGATACTTGTTTCTCAAGTCAAATAACACTTCTTCCACAGTGTAGAACAGCGTGGCAGTGTCTCTCTTCCATCAGCCCTAGCCCAACACATAAAGCCAGGGTTTTAAGCAATAAGAATTCAAGCCAACTCCCTTCTGAGGAGACAGCCAGCCATTTTCTCATTTCCTGTGGTCCAAACCAGTAGGGCCCAGCTCTTAGCAAGTCTCACATATCTTCTGGTAAAAAGTTTGCAAAGAGAGGGACATAGAGGAGGTGTCTTTGCTGTATCTCACAGTCCTAAGAACACATACTAATGTGCAGGGAGCTTTGGAGAAGTTTGGTTTTTGTTTTTTTAATATTTATTTTTGTGAGCACATGAATGAGAGGGGCAGAGGAAGAGGGAGAAAGAATCTCAAGCAGACTCCATGTTGAGCACAGCACTTGATGTGGGGCTCGATCTCATAACCCTTGAGATCACGACCTAAGCCAAAACCAGGAGTTGGCAGCTTAACTGTGCCACCCAGGTGCCCCTGAAGAAGTTTTTTTTTTTTTTTACAGATTTTGGCACCATGAACAAGAAGTGTTTTTGGATTTAGAATCTAAAACCTCATTGGTGGAGAGATTATAAATAGAACATAAAAGAGTTTACATTCTTCAAGAATCTGGCTATCTGATGAGCACTGGGTGTTATATGTTGGCAAATTGAACTTAAACAGATGTAAAAAGAATCTAGGCATCTCTCTTCCTTATCATTGTCTAGGTTCTACTGTTCCAGTGGGACAGTGCAAGTTTTAGAGCTGAGCAAGGAGCACAACTAGATTGATTTTTTTAGTCCTAGCACATAGTACTGAATAAATGTTAGTTGAAAAAAAAAAAATAAAGGCAATGAGGTGCCTGGGTGCTCCGTTGGTTGAGAGTCTGACTCGAGATTTCAGTTCAGGTCATGATCTCAGGATTATTATCTGTGCTCTGTGCTCAGAGGAGAGTTTACTTGAGATTCTCTCTCCCTCCTTTTGGCCCTCCCCCAACTTGTGTGTTCTCTCTCTCTTGAATAAATCTTTAAAAAAAAAAAAAGGTAATCTTAAGGAGTACAAGGTCTGAGGTGTTCCTACTTCCTTTAGTGAAAGATATGATAAAGTGGCTTATTTTCCAGTTAGGCTCTGTTACCAGAGGTTGCAGGGCAGAGTCATGTGATTTTTGATGAGTTTCTCCCCCTTTCATTTAGACGTTCAGTCTCCTTCCCTAATAACAGGAGCAATTAATGGGATTCCATACTATCAAGGCATTGGAGATGAGCTTTTAACAGCCGTGACAAGGCAAGAGCCTGGAATAAGAACTGGACTCAAATGAAGCCAGCACTGCTTTAATCTTACCTGTGTGATTTCATAACCAGCACGCCTCATCTGTTGTTCATTCAGCAAACACTGAAATGTCTTATGGCTGTGATTGGTGCTCTGAGGATTAAAAATGGGTACGCCCTTAAACACCTTACACCAACTGAGAAGTTGGCAAAAATTTATGGAACTACATGTTTACAGTATCTGCTTTTCTATATTCTACTTCAAATAAGTTTAATGGAGTGGATTTTTTTTTTAACTTTTATTTATTCATGAGAGAGAGAGAGAGAGAGGCAGAGGGAGAAGCAGGCTCCATGCAGGGAGCCCAACATGGGACTCGATCCCAGGTCTCCAGGATCATGCCTTGGGCTGAAGGCAGGCACTAAACCACTGAGCCACCCAGGGATCCCCTAATGAAGTGTTTTAAGTGAATGAATACAACATTCACATCTTCAAGGATGTGAACAGTTGAGGCCCTATGTATACATAATTACAGTTATCTCAAAAGGTCTAATAGGTCAGCTCAGCTTCCTTCTCCCTGTCAACCCCTTGTTTTTAGGAAGCAGCACTCAAAGCAAAACCTATGGGCCATGGTCTGGTCCCACAATCTTTCTGCCACATGCTGAAGCTCCTCAGAGAATCACTGGGAGGTTCAAGCTAGCTGTAAACTGAATAAATATGAATTACCAAACATCCCCCACAACAGAACAGATGATGTCTGCTTGTTAATCCAGTAGCTCTTGAACCTAGGACAGTGCTTGGTACCTAGCAGGCTCTTAAACTTGTGCAGTACTTGAAAGGCAGATTCATAACCTTTACTTGTTTTCTAGATAGGAGTCCGTTTTTCACCTGAAGCAGGAAGATACCAGCTATCCAATTTCAAGTCCAAGGATTTTCTGTTACCACCTTGTCCAAAGCTGTACACATTACTGTGCTCATTAGTGCCACTATGTATTGAACACCTTTCTTGTGCTAGGCAGTATTTTGAAATTTAATTCAGTCTAATTTTCACAGCAGTCCTAGGAGGGAGGTGTCCCGTCTTTATAAATAAACTGAGGTGCAGCCTGAAGGCACTAAGAAAGTGTTGGAGGTGGGATTCAAGTCTGCAACTTCCAAACCAAAGCTTCTATTTTGTAACACTATTTAGAGTGGAAAGTGATGCGACTAAAACCATGATCCATCTGGAGACAAAAATCTTTCACTAGGGGCTCATGGGTGGCCCAGTCGATTAAGCTCTCTTGATTTCAGCTCGGTCATGGTCTCACGGTTGTGAGATGGAGCCCTGCATCGGGCTCTGTGCTCAGTGGGGAGTCTGCGTGAGAGTTTTTCTCCCTCTCCTTCTGCCCCTCCTCCTGCTCTCTCCCCATAAATAAGTAATGTTTTTTTTTTAAAAAGAACCAAAAACCTCACACACACCACACATACCTTCCATGCACAATGATATATAATCACCCAACCTTAGGAAAAACAGTACCACTGCTGGCAAGCAAATGCATTTTATTCTCATTTTATTGAGATTTTTTCCACAGCTGCCATTTGATTTGTATAGCAAAATTTTTAAAAAGTAACTTTCCCCACATTTTTGATATTTTTATGAAAACCATCTTCAATTTTAAAGCCCTCCCCCTCCCCCAAAGACATATTAATAACTACCATGTAATATTTATTTAAAAGAGAAAAAAGGAACAAAAACAGCTTTTAAACTTGTGAAACGAGGATCAAAGTCGAAAGTCAAGACGTAGTCCTGTTAGAGGTGCTAAGCTGCCTCAGGACATGAGGGGCACTTGGCCATCCACACCTGCAGATGTGTAAACCACACACAGACCCTCTGGGACTTCATGTTTCCACAGGCTCTACTCCCTTTCTCCCCTTGACCTCCTCTGCTGGCTGTCCTGCTCTCCAAATCCACCCGACAAAGGCAGTACAATCTTTAATACATGTTCAACTCTGTAATGGAGACAATACTGTATTCATAAAGTTCAGAGATTCCCCTCCATCCAGTTAGGGAGGATAAAATAGTCAACAGAGTACAGATGGTTTCAGTTTTGTGTTCATGCAAAATATACTCATTAAGTTATCAGATGGTTCAAGAGTCCTGATGTGTTGTAGACAGCACAAAAGTCCCTTATAAAAAAGAAGTTGCAAAGTTATAAAAATTTCTGCAGCAGTTTGGGCTCCTCTCATGGAGCCTCTTATGACAAGGCTGGTTCTGAAAAGCAGTTCATCTCATATGTGCAGCAGCTTGCCCTATGAGTCCTGTGTTCTGAGGGTTCTCTTTAGACCACAGGAGGCTGAAATCCAGGTAGGTAAGATTCCCTGCTGACAAAATGTGGCATTTCCATCAGTGGACTAGTACTGAGCACTCTAAAGGAAGAGACTACCGACACATGTTATGCCTTATGGGTGAAACTCAAAAATGTGCTAAGTGAAAAAAAGGCAGCTATAAGAGACCACAGCTTGTGGGATTCTATTGATATGACGCCCAGAAAAGGCAAATTTGTAGAGACAGAAAAATAAGTGGCTGCCCAGAGTTGGGATTATCATGTAAATGGACACAAAGGATCTCATGGGGCAGGATGAAAACGTCTAAGATTGAGTATAGTTATGACCCTACTACTTGGGAAACTTACTAAAATAACTGAATTGTACACTTGAAAAGGGTGAATTTTATATGTAAAATATGCCTCAAAAAAGTTGTTTAAAAAAAAAATTCCCTGCTTCCCAAACCACACATCAAGCATTAAACATTTCTGAAGGCTCAATCAATAGGGCAGAATTATCAGTGTTGAGTTACACGGTGAAAATACCGTAGTATTTTATAGTGAATAGCTTAAGAGTCTCCCAGTGCACGCCAGAACCGCATCAATCCTCCTGTACCCTCTGCTTATTTCCCAAACTAAGGTGTTATCCCCCGGGGGGAGTGGCTGGAGATACAGCCTTCCCCATTAGGTAGGCATCCCCAGATCTTGGTCAAATTTGTCAGGTGTCTGCTCGTGCTCATATCTAAACATCATCTAAACCAAGAAACATTATTAACCTGGGATGCTGGGACCCTTATGGAAGGACAGCAGTCCCCTCCAATCAGAGCAGGTTCACTTCCGGGCACCTGATGTTTCTACATGGGGTCTGCAGCAGCACCAAACAGGAGGATTCAGTCAAGCGATTTCCTTTAGCTCCTTATTCACACAACTTTCCTCTCTGATGTACATAATGGCCAGAGTATTGTAATAACCTCCTTACTCCCTAGCCTCTCCGAAATCAAGACAAAGCAGATGCTAGGACAAGACACAATGTCAGAAATGCTGCTTAGTCTTTCCCTAAAAACATTTTTTTTTTATTTATTTATGATAGTCACACACAGAGAGAGAGAGAGAGGCAGAGACACAGGCAGAGGGAGAAGCAGGCTCCATGCACCGGGAGCCTGAAGTGGGATTCGATCCCGGGTCTCCAGGATCGCGCCCTGGGCCAAAGGCAGGCGCTAAACCGCTGTGCCACCCAGGGATCCCTAAAAACATATTTTTAAGCTATAGTTAGCATTATAACCTCAATTAAAGAGACTCCAGCTGTTTTGACTTTGGAAACTAAAGGTGCTGCAAAGGACCGCCTTTTCCTTACAATGTTTTGGTTTGACCATATGTAACCCCAAAAGTCAACTGCTGCAGTCAGAAATGCGCAGAGACACACAGTCACAGGTGCTCAGGTCTGGGCTGTAGCTGTCATATTTTCCACTGCATTTCAAAGACCTGGAGAAAGTGAAAAATCATTTCCTTTTTTTTTTTTTCTCTTGAAGAGCAAGAGATAAAATAATTTTAATCTTGGGGTTTTAGAGTTCAATAATCACAAAACTCAGAAATCAGTCACTAATAAACCAACACTGGGATGGGCCAGAACTGGCACTCATTGAAAATACACGGTCTAGGGGCACGTGGGTGGCTCAGTGGTTAAGCATCCGCCTTCAGCTCAGTTCATGATCCCAGGGTCCTGGGATGGAGCCCCACGTGGGGCTCTCCATTCAGTAGGGAGCCTACTTCTCCCTCTCCTTCTGCCTGCTGCTCTGCCTACTTGTCAAATAAGAGAATGAAATCTTGAAGAAAAAAAAAGAGAAAGAAAGAAAATACACATTCTGTTTCTATACAAATTCTCAAACTTCCAGTTGCCAATAGAAAAAGTTTAAACAAAGTCGTGGCTTAAATTCAACGTCAAAATAATCACTTATAAAACACCTGCCTCGCCCTTTAAGGGTCAAGGTGGCTGGCTGGCATGCACCCAGACTGTTTCCTATAAGGAAACGTCAGGGACAAGGGTGCCCAGCCTTTCCCCAGCAAAGGTCCAACAAGACCCACACGCATTTTCTAATAAGGAGCCTATGACCTGGGTGGCAACCGTGCTCCTACCTCACAACATACTGACGATGGAGGAAAGGGCCGGACTATGGAAAGAAACGGTCTGTGGCACAAGCTACTTGCTAAGAAAGGGGTCGTGTTGCCAGTGGCTTCCTGCTCCTGCAGTCAGCACCCTCTCGTGTCTGAATGGGACCAGGAAGTCCAGGCCTCAGGTTCCACTGCTCATCTGGCAGGAAATTCTCTTCCTCCTGCCCAGATCTGCTTTGTGATACCATGCTAACGATTGACATCCAAAACGGAACCCCACAGCTGACAGACAAGCCCTCTGCACAGCACCCAACACCTCAGCCTATCCTGGTCAGGAGAGCAAGCCTTCTTCAGGATGAAGAAATGGCTCCATCCGGATCCCTATAGGGCTCTACTGGGCTGGGAGCCTCACTAGAAGCCACTGTGTTGTTGTTGACCATGAAGACGCCCACGCTCTAGAAAATGGCTCCTTCTGTGTCTCGATATATTTCCCACAGCCTTCAGGACTCTGAGCTTGGACAACCTAATGGAGACTGAAGAAGGAAATGGAGCCAGGGACAGACAGACCTCTCTGTTCCTACACTTCTGAGGCTCTCTCCCTATTAGAGGCAACGACCCCAGCCTGAGGTAGAGGCTTTGGGAATTAATGGGCACATCCGGCTCCTTAAACTCTTTAAGCTACTCTCTCCTAGGACTTGTGACCGACCTAACAAGGAAGGCCATTCTGCAAACAATGCCATCCTATAGACTCAAATGAAGAAGGGATGTGGGTTCATATTTTAAATCTGACAATAGCCTGCAGCTGTTCAAAAAGTCAACAAGGGAGCACCTAAGAAAAGGGAGACGTTCCTAAGCTTTCTAGGCACTGGTCCTTTCCTTCCAACCTCTGTCCCATATCCACATACTGAATTTACATAGACTTTACTTCATTCCGTGGTCTTTTTCTGATAGGCCTGTCACACCACACAGCAGCAGTCATACAGAAGCCGCTGTCCCCCTCAGGCCTCTGCACGTCCCAGTCTGAGGAGGACGGCCTGGACTACACACGTTCTCCTTTAGACCTGACTCTGCCACCTACATCTTTATCACACAAAAGGCAGTTTCTGGTGCCCAGTTTAATTCCTTATGAGTAGCAACAACAACAACAACAACAACAAAACCATGGTTTATAGTCAGGAAAGACAAAAGAAATACCCAAAGAGCCCAACCTAGAAAACTCGTAAAACTGGGCATGTGGGAATAGCAAAATTTTATAATTGCTGAAACTGTCCCAGTGGGTCATGTGGTCACATGGGTCAAGCAGAACTCACTCTCCCAGGCCTTTTTTTTTTTTTTAAGTTCTTTTGCATAATTCTGTTAGGTGGGGAGAAGCATCCAAATTGTGATCTGAATTTCTTGCTGGTGTCCTGAAATAAAATACATTTACTTGGGAAAAATTGTAGGGAATAATTTACTAAGGGGAGATACTGGGAGGACCAAGTCTTCATGGGGCTGGCAAAAATTTGTCAAAATACTCTTGAGACACAATGAACAGAGTTCAGGGTTGACTGTTCCAGACTAAAGCTGATGCATACTTCTCCTTCCCCTTTGGTAACAACATCCTTCCTTAAAAATAGAGTAGGGAGCAGTGGAAAGGAGACAGGGGACTAGATGCCATGAGAGACAAAGTGACAAACCCACCCCAGAGCTCTTTTGCCTGGTAAATAATGAATAATGAGTTTGATTATGGCTGGAAGCAGAGGCTTAAGAGGCCAGCAGTGACTGAGTGACCTGAATGACAATCACTGTCACAGCCCACCTCTGCCATTTCCAAGCTTCGGTAACCATCAAAGGAGTTACCATCAATCAGTACTTTAAGTCTGTGTTTTCTTGAATGGGGTTCCAGGCAAGGAGTCAGAGCTGGGCTGGTGAACTCTGGTTGGCAAACACCTGCTTCTTCCACTCGTGCCTCTTCTCTTCCAGCTGAACGTACTCGATAAACAGTTCCCCAGGTGCTCATTGCCCTTGGTAAGTGTACAGTAGGATGAGAAGGACATTCTCAAACACCCAGATTTTCTTGGTCAGCTTATTTTGGCTAAACACACACACAGCAGAACATTCCTGATGAAGGCAGAAAAAGACTGCAATTTCCTTAACTCAAAAAGCTAATAATACTACTGCTACTAATAATAATGATAGGAAACTGCTCCAAACCAAAATCAGTAGAACAAAAGAGAAATACTCAGAGACTCAGAGGCTTGTCGAATAAGACAGGACATTAGTTACTCCAATCACAGGGTCAAGTTAAATCACTCTCCCCCTTCCCCACGGAGCACCCCTCGCCCGCCCTGCCCCGCCCCCTTCTTCAGCTCTGCCTCTCTGTGCAGCACTGTCCCCAGGTGGAGGGACATACAAGTTCTCCTCAAAACTTTCTGCAGCTCAGTACTTCACTCCTGGAATAAATTCCTTGGCATCCGGGTTCAGATTACTTTTGCTCTGAAATAAGAACCAAGAGATAAGAAATCCCACATTAAAAGTTATTTTCTTCCCGCTTCCATTATTACCAGTACCCTCAGCCTCCAAGAGAGGAAAAACCTCACGCTGCCACTGCTGGGCTCCTGCCCAGGGCTCCAGGCATACTAAGCCTTGAGCAACCTCATTTTCTTCTTCCTGCTTTAGATGCCAGTTCTCTTCTTGATGCTTTCGTTGCAAGTTTGACTCCAAAAATAATTTTGCAATTCACCAAGTACCTTAACTCGATGAAAATCAAGAGTATTCCATCAAACCAGTTTGGTGACCACAACCCCTTTATTTTCCACCTCACTGTATTCTCTTTGGTTATCTACTCTCTTGCGAATGTCCAAAACCTGGGCAAACTGCAGGCCAGAGTCATTTGGAACATGAGTTCTGTGAGAACTAAGTCACTCACAGAGCTCTGACTTTAAGTAAACATGAAAAGCAGGAAATTGGTTTATCCAGTCTTCTAATTTTAAGAGGAACATACGCCTTTTAGGAGTATGTTCCTTCCAAAACCATATCATTCAAAGCTATAAATACAGATTTGAGGAACAGTAAAAGGAAAGAACAGCAGCAAGTGATCATTTGAAACCAAACATCTTCTGTGTTCAAATTCTTATCCTAATCCCAATTCTACTCTGAAAGGCCCACTGGGGAAAATGAGAGTTGGTGATAATGCCACAGTAATGTTTTCACAATGCTGTATGTGGTGCAATGCCCAGGGGATGGGTGAAGAAAACAGGGGCTCAGATGCTCCAGAGGCTCACCCAAAGTGGTAGGGCCAGAAAGAAACTATGTCACTCCAAATTCTCTATTATTTCCACTATGTCTCATGTGCAACTATGTATGGCTCTTACCAAAATATCGTCAGAATTGTGACCATCATTGACGGACAGTCCATTTAACTGCTGCTGCAACTGTCCCATTGCCTGAGGCAGGTCCCGTGAGGGAATGAACCAGTCTTGGTCTTCTTCATCCAGCATCTCCTGGAAGCACCGGTCTAAGAAGTCTTGCTCCTGAAGTTCCTCCTCCACCTAGTAAGCAAAGGGAACTGACACTTCCCATCCCAGAGGGGACGTTTTCTACCTCTTTCTTGCAGTTAAGAATGATGGGCACCTGGGAGGCTCAGTGGTTGAGCATCTGCCTTTGGCTCAGATCGTGATCCTGCGGTCCTGGGATGGAGTCCTGCATTGGGCTCCCCACAGGGAGCCTGTTTCTCCCTCCGCCTAAGTCTCTGCCTCTCTCTCTCTCTGTCTCATGAATGAATGGATGAATGAATGAATGAATGAATGAATGAATGAATCTTTAAAAAAGAAGAAGTACAGACAAAAGAAAGGCGAACTAAAAAGAAAAGGGGTTAAGGGGTACCTGGACGGCTCAGTCAGTTAAGCATCTGCCTTTGGCTCAGGTCATGATCCCTGCTCAGTGGGAGCCTGCTTCTCCCCTGCCTATGCCTCTGCCTCTCTCTCTCTCTGTGTCTCTCAGGAATAAATAAATAAAATCTTAAAAAAAAAAAAAAAAAGGAATGATCCTGCATGAGGATCATTCTTAGTATTCTTAGTATACTAAGAATTAAAATGCTTCGAATGACTGGCTAGAGAAAACACAATTTTTAGTTTTTTCAACCAAATTCCATCAACAATAAGACTAAGGAAACAGTTACTCAGAACAGCAGGAAGTTCAGGCCTTCACACCTCTTCTAACATCTCTAATATGGGATGCAGAAACTTTCCCTTCAGATGGCACTTACAGAAAATCATTTTAAAGCTTGAGATTGTTTTTTCAATCTTGTTAAGAAGCAACTTCTTAAATTTCCCATTTTACAAGTATGAAAAAGGTACAGGAATTACATAACTAGACCACTACCTGGATAGTGGAGATTAAATCAAAACCAACTCTCAGCTTCTGGCCCTCTTTTCTGGTAATGAGGCCCCTAAAGGAGAAAAATACTTTCAGAACCTTAGAAAGATATAAAGAACACTTTTTGGCAAACCAACAGAAAATGATGTCATCAATGTAGGTATCCTTTGAAAACAAGGAAAAATATGAATATTTAAACAACTCTATTTCTTAAAGATTGCCCTACACTAAACCAATTTGTATCTAGGATATTTTAGACCTCTTTGTAGACATTGTCAAGTCTTAGTAAAGAGTATGGTTCACTCTGCAAACGGAGTGTGATTTTAACAGGCCCCAGGCTTCACATTTGGTCATCTTTTTCCTGTGGGCTAGTGGTGATAGATTCATAGCTCACTAGCACCACCATCAGAGGGGAAGTCAAACAAAAATAATCACCCAGACTAGCTCATACAGTTGTTCGTGAATTCAGAAGTCATCAGTAGCACAAGATGTAAAAATAGTCTTCAACCTTACAATTAGCCACATTGATCTCAAGTAAATTAGATACTTGTGAAGTACTTAATGTAACAACCACCACAAAATATTTCCAACCCATAAGATTAAACATGACTGTTCAAGACCTGCATGATCTATGTGCTAGTCACACAAATCATGACAGTGAGCTGACTGGGGAGGAAACTGCTGGCTGCTCCGCTCAACTTGTTTCCTTCTTCCCAGAGCACTGGGCTGTTCAGTTAAAACCACATTTCCCATCTCCATCTTGATGATGGCCACGTAACTATTCATCATGTAATGTCATCCAGAAGATGCATCACTCGGTTAAAGGGAGATCCCTTCCTTGGCTCTCCCCTTTTCCCCGTGGCTAGACTTCTAGTTATCCTTCAGTTACTCAGCTGATAAACGTCCTGGCGGTGCCAGAGCAACACCACTGGAGAACCAGGTGGTTGGAGAATCACTGTCTACCTACAATGCCTACCTTGGGCTATTAATGTCACGCGATACAAGACAATGGATTACTGCTGAGTCTTTGTTCAAACAGTCTAGTCTTTCTCCACCTAACACACTTCTCCATCTCAGACATACATTCTATCAGTCCCTGAGTTCCCATGTGGGGAGTATGCCAGGCCGGCCCATCTTCTACTGTTCCCGAGAAGTCTACGCCAGGACACCGTGGCATGAGATCCTCTTGTAACCAATGTGATGGAAAAGCATCAGTATTTTCCAAAGTACTATACTCTGGTGTCTTACCAGCTGAAGAGGCTTCTTGGGTCAACCCAGACCAGGCCTCCATGCATTTTTTAAAATTATTCTCAAGCTGACAAGCCCATTTCTTTTGCTACAGATTGGATGGTAAAATATTATAGCTGTTGAGTTACATGCATCTTAGCCTTCCACTTCTTTCTTTACCTGTCTGTTGAAATCTTCTTCGTTCTCCATCCACATGTACTCTGCAAATGGGTTTTCCTTCTCATCGTGCCCATTTAATCCCTGATCCTCTTTGGATTTTATATTAGGTGATGTATTTGCTACACTGGATCCATTCATTATGATAGAACCTAAACAGAAGCAAAGGAAAGGATCAAGGAAATGAAAACCTAGAACATCCAGATTCTTCCAGATGCTTCTGAAGTTCTAAGTCAAAGTTATTAATTATAGATGAACAGAAACTATTAGTCTGTAACTGTTAGAAAGCTAACCATATTCTGCAGTTATCAACTATACAGGTGTAGAATTCTTAAAGAGTTAAAAGAAATGTCTAGGCTCAGTTAACCTTTCTAGGCAAGTGCGAGGGGGGATATTTTCAAGTCAATTTTTTGCAGGCTGTAGAACCTAATCAAGGTCACACAGCTTCATTAATGTTTAAATAGGCAGAGAAAATACATTCTCAATGAACACTGTGAGCAACTGCCCCTTATTCTGATTCTCAAGCTGTTTTTCTCTAAAACATATTTCAAAAAATAATACGTGCTAACTGTATTGATAAACAAATAAGAGAAAATTAAGGTTACCAGTTGTCCAACTACCCAGAGTTAAAAACTATTGTTAATAGTGATATGTATGTAATACAATGTAGTGCATATAACCATTCTGAGTTCCCTTATGTGTATGCAGACGCATATACACACACATATCCCCCAAGCATCCATTCTTAGAGTAACAGCATGATGCTCTATCATTTGCCTTTTCTCATTTCTGTGTTAATACCACCATAGTGTCTTTTGGAATATTTTCAATGTTTCCATGTTATAAAGGTTAGATTAACTTCTTGCATTCATCTTTTTCAATGTTTTCCTTAGGATAACTCCAGAAACTGAACTGCTATATTGGAAACTATGTTGTTTTTTTAAGGTTCTTGATTTATTGTCACATTGCCATGAGCATTTAAATTCCCACCAGTAGAATATAAGTGCCTATTCCTCTGTACTATTATTATTATTATTATTATTATTTTATTTTATTTTTTATTCATGAGAGACACAGAGATAGAGAGGCAGAGACACAGACAGAGGGAGAGGCTCCCCTGCAGGGAGCCTGATGTGGGACTCGATCCCAGGACTCCAGGATCACACCCTGAGCCAAAGGCAGATGCTCAACCACTGAGCCAACCAGGTACCCCACTGAATATTATTTTTTAAACCACTGCCAGTCTCAGAAGAGAAAAATTGTCACTTATGATTTACATTTACATTTCTGTGATTTTTACTGAGGCTGAATATTTTGAGATATACTTCCGGGTCATTTGATTTCTTATTTTGTCATTTTTCTGCTCAAGTATTTTGACCATTTTTCTATCAGGGTACGTATCCTTTTTTAATCTGTTACAAGGACTTTTATTATATATATCATAATTTTTATGTTTCATAAAAGAATTTATAAATTAAAAATGCTGTGTTTGTTTTATTTTCTTAATTTTTTTTTTTTTTGGTGGCAGTTTTTGCTGGCCTTAAGTTTTGTCTACCTCTTGTGAGTGTCTGCCTATAACTCTTTAAAGTACATACGTATTTTTTTGAATTGCTTATACTTGGCTTCCAATTCCACACTGATGTGTTTGCTATCATCTGGAATGTGTCTTTTTTCTGTTCTTTATTTAAATCTTAATTATTCTTCAAAAATCACTGCAGTCTTTACTCACTGCTTCCCCCCTCCATGTTCCTATACCTTGTGAGGTCAGTGTTCATACTAAAGTAACTAGTCTCTTCTTTTTTTAAAAGATTTTATTTATTCATGAGACACACACTCATGAGACAGGCAGAGATACAGGCAGAGGGAGAAGCAGGCTCCCTGCGGGGAGCCCCAGTGTGGGGCTCAATCCTAGGACCCCAGGATCACACCCTGAGCTGAAGGCAGACACTCAACCACTGTGCCACCCAGCAGTCCCTAACTATTCTGTTTCATAGGCATAATTTTTCTCTTTCCAATTAGATTCTCAACTTGTGAAAAGCAAAATGGAGGCTTATAATCTCAATCTCTCCTCCTTTCTCCTTGGGGCATCTTTAAATTTCCTTTAATAATTTTTTTCTTCACTCCTTTCCATCTTCTCAACATTCATGAGAAAGTCTTTCGCCGCTTCTGGGTACATTAAAAAAATTATTGCTTACTCCCCTTTAAAGTTCTTATAACTTTATAACTTTTTAATCCATTATGAACATTAGAAAATCAAATCTTAAAAAAAAAAAAAAAAGAAAATCAAATCTTAAAAGACAAGGAAAGGGCAGCCTGGGTGGCTCAGTGGTTTAGCGCTGCCTTCAACCTGGGGCCTGATCCTGGAGACCCGGGATCGAGTCCCACGTCGTCGTTTGGCAGTTGGTTATAATCAGCACAGTGATTTCTCCCCATCAGTATGGAAATCACCCAGAGATAACCAGTATTCAGTTTGCTAAAATATCTGCCTTTGCCTAAAAAACAAATCCTAAGTGCATATGACCATAAGGAAAAAGAGAGGGCAGAGAAACAAAGAACAGAATAACCCATTTAATTCAAGAGCAAGGTGAAACTTGCAGAGCAAACTGCAGGATGCTCTCCTTCATGAAAAAGGGAATGGAGACATACTATAATCCCAACATACGGATGTTACCCAATTTAATGCAAACACTTTAGAGAAGTTGAAAACACTAAGATATGGGACTGATAACACTAGGAAAGTGGTTCTCAGCAGGCTACATAGTGTTGATTGTAGTTTATACTATTCTAACCTGTGTTTTCCATACAATTGGCAAGCTTAGGTTTCTCTAAGTAGAAGCAATCCAACAACTTAATGTGTATAATGTTTAACAATTTATAAAGTACTTCTGTATCTATGTTCCAACTTCAGGCACATAATCTGTCCAACTTCACTCTAAAAAGAAAACCATCCAGATAGTGCTATATGTAGGACCAAAGAAGGTACCAGATTTTGACCTTTGATGTTCATTATTTCACTTGATCTTCACCCACAACAAGGTACATTATCTGTCATCCTAGCGTAGTGGGGACATAGTAAATACCCCCCAAGTTTCTAGAGATGAGGGAAATGCCTGCGTACGTAAGTAGGATCACAAATCAGAATGGCCACCTATGTTATGGAGGCCCATGTGACAAGGAACTGAATTCTGTTAACAACCATGTGAGTGAGCTTAGTTCATCTTCCCCCAGTCAAGGCTTCAGATGAAGCCAAGGGACAACTTGACAACAACTTCATGAGACTCTGAGGTAGAGGCATACCCAGCTAAGCTGCTCCTAGATTCCTGACTCAACAGAAGTTCTGAGATAACAAATGTTTGCTGCTTTAACCTGCTAAGCTTTGCGGTAAGATGTCACATGGCAATAGGTAATACAGGATTTGATAAACAATGACAACTAGTTCCGCCATACAAATCATCTGTTGCCACATCTTTCCTCTTATCTATCCAAACAACAAATGTGCAGTCTGAAGTAGGTCACGGCTTGAGAAGTTCTTCAAGAACTGGACCTCAACAGTAGATAAAAGAGTTTTTATGTCTGGCTTGCATCTATACTGCATTATGAAATCCAAGAACTATTTGACATTTATTCTCCCCTACCTCAGTTTCCCTTCTATACACACGGCAAACATGCTGAAAATGGAAAATAAGAGTTGTTATTTTGGGTTAAGATGGAAAAGCATGTAGCCAGCACAGAGTCAAAATAGGGGTGCTAAGACCTGCTAGGCATTTGATTTAATACTTTACCATGGTCAAGGGTATTTGGCTTGAAATAAAAGCCCAGTTCCCAGCCATAAAGAACTTCAAGACTTTTAATGTGCCTAGGACATTTCTACAATACATGCTTCATCAGTTCAATACTTTGAATGCCCACAACTTTCAGATCCAATGCGCTCATACCAAAAACTGGCTATTCTTTGAACCTGAAATTTTTCAGAAGCTATAAACCTGGATTGTGCCCGTGGTAACAGCTTGACTGTGAAGAATACTTGGGACTTTTGGCTGAATTATCTGGAATTTGGCTGAATTGTCTGAGAAATTGCTATAAAAACTAGTCTCTACTATTCTGTTTCCTACAGTTTTGTGAACTTCGTTCAGTCTGGTTAATACCATTTTTTAAATTAAATATTATGAATAGCAGTTTAAAATGTTATTTTACCTCAAATATGCAGTACTAGATTCAGGTTTAGTCCATTCTCAGTTACATCTTAGCAACTCAGGTCATTAGATGCACTCACTCACTCTGGGTATCTATTTACTCTAGACACTGTACTCAACTGGTGCTTTGACAGGGTATACAGTCCTTGCCCTAGAGGTATCTACATTGTCAGGAGACAATAATTAAGAATACTTCTGATCTGTGTTATAAAAGGAAGTTAAAGGGACTACTGAAAACAACAGGGTGGGAGGGGACCTAATCAAGTCCAAGAGTGGGGGATGGTTAGGAAAGGGTTCCCTGAGAAAGCAATATTTTCTTTGATACCTGAAGAATATAAGTTATCTAGCAATAGGGAAAAGAGGGTGTATCGGCCAAGTGTAAGAACCCCAAGATGGGCCACTTTGGCATAAAGACTATTTTGAGATAAAAGCAGCTGAAACCCAGCAGATTCAGGAAAAGCTCTTTACCTCCCCCTCAACTGCCTAAATTTACATTGGCAAGAAGAGCCTGTACCAGGAAGAGATCTACTAACAAAGATTCCTCTTTACCTAATAAATTTACCTACCTAACATGGCAACCTTTGTTTTCTAAACATCTCCTCTCACCATCCTGCTAAAGATCTTCTTCCCCTTCCTTTCCTTAGACTCCTACCCCTCTCTTTAATTCAGAATGTCTTATAAGCTTCAAATCACCCAACTGTCTTGAAATTTCATGTCTGTGTGGAGTCCCATACATATGAAACAAAATATGTTTTCACCTGTTAATCTGTCTCATGTGAATTTAATTTAGTCCACCTAGAAAAACCTTGGACCAAGGAAAATTTCTTCCTTCCCAATGAGGAAAACACATGTGCAAAGATTCAGACGCAGGAAGGAACTCTCAGGAACTTCAGAAGGTAGAGATGCATACAGTTGGAGTTCAAAGGAGAATGGCAAGGAAGAGAGATGAAGTTGTAGAG